TTGTCATCTCGTCAACCAGAAGGGTATTTTGGTAGATCCGGCCAAGATTGAGGCCGTGATGCAGTGGGAGGTCCCGAGGTCTCCATCTGAGATTCGGAGCTTCCTAGGGCTGGCAGGGTATTATCGGAGATTTATTCAGGACTTCTCCAAGATAGCAGTGCCGCTCACCCGACTAACCAAGAAGTCGGTGGTTTTTTGTTGGGGGCCTGAGCAGCAGGCGGCGTTCGAGACTCTCAGGCAGAGATTGTGCGAGGCTCCGATCCTTACCTTGCCAGAGGGAGTAGAGGACTTCGTAGTCTATTGTGATGCTTCGATCACGGTATGGGAGCAGTATTGATGCAGCGAGGCCATGTGTAGCTTATGCCTCGAGACAGTTGAAGCCTCACGAGGCTAATTATCCTACCCACGACTTGGAGCTGGGGGCAGTTGTATTTGCCCTCAAGATTTGGAGACATTACCTTTATGGGGTCCGCTGTACTATTTACACGGATCACAAGAGTTTGCGATATCTTATGGATCAGCCGAGTTTGAACATGAGGCAGAGGAGATGGTTGGACGTGCTGAAGGACTATGACTGTGAGATCCTTTATCATCCAGGGAAGGCCAATGTGGTGGCCGACGCCCTGAGCCGCAAGGTGTCGACGGCCCCTATCAGAGATCTGTGTATGAGGATGACAGTGATCACTCCGTTGTTGGAGCGGATCAAGGAGGCTCAGATGGAGGGCCTCAAGGAGGAGAGGCAGAAGTGTGAGAGGATAGTGGGCCGAGTAGCTTCATTTGATTACGACAGTCGGGTTTGTTGACGCTTCATGGTAGGGTGTGGGTACCGTACTGGGGTGGGGTACGGCAAGTATTGATGGACGAGGCTCATAAGTCTCGATTTTCTATCCACCCAGGAGCGACGAAGATGTATCGAGATCTTCGACCTGATTATTGGTGGCCCTGCATGAAGCGGGACGTCGCTTGGTATGTTGAGAGATGTTTGACCTGCCGGAAGGTCAAGGCGGAGCACCAGAGACCTCACGGCAAGATGCAGCCGTTAGACATTCCCGTGTGGAAATGGGAGGATATCACCATGGATTTTGTCACCAAACTCCCCAGGACCGCACGTGGAGTGGACTCGATATGGGTAGTAGTGGATCGGTTGACGAAGAGTGCTCATTTTATTCCGATTCAGGAGAGTATATCGGCGGAAAAGTTAGCCGATATCTATGTGCGGGAGATTGTGGCACGTCATGGAGTGCCGGTATCGGTGGTGTCGGACCGAGATGTTCGTTTCACGTCCAGATTCTGGAAGCGGTTCCACGACGAGATGGGTACTCGTCTCCATTTCAGCACCGCTTTCCACCCTCAGACTGACGGGCAGAGCGAGAGGACGATTCAGACTCTTGAGGACATGCTTAGGGCATGTGTTCTAGATTTTGGGGGCAGTTGGGATACGTATCTTCCGTTAGCGGAATTCTCGTATAACAACAGTTATCATGCGAGCATTGATCGACCTCCTTTTGAGATGTTATATGGCAGGAAGTGCAGGACCCCGATTTGTTGGGGCGAGGTCGGTCAGCGAGTCATAGGGAGCACCGAAGTGGTGCTCAAGACGACTGAGTTGATCCAGCAGGTCCGTAGTAGGCTGCAGACTGCGCAGAGTCGGCAGAAGAGCTACGCCGACAGGAGGCGTTCGGACTTGGAGTTCCAGGTGGGAGATATGGTTCTTCTGAAAGTCTCACCTTGGAAAGGTGTCATTCGATTCAGGAAGCGGGGCAAGTTGGGCCCAAGATTCATCGGGCCGTTCAGGGTTGTAGCCCGGGTGGGCAAGGTGGCGTATAGGCTGGATCTGCCAGCCGAGCTCAGTCAGATCCACAGCACTTTCCATGTTTCGCAGCTGCGGAAGTGCCTGGTGGACGATTCAGCGGTAGTACCGTTGGAGGATATTCAGGTTGATGACAGCTTGAATTACATTGAGCGCCCAGTCGCAATACTTGACAGGAAGTCAAAGGCTTTGAGAAACAAGAGGGTAGAACTAGTAAAGGTGCAATGGCAGCACCGCAAGGGTTCGGAATGGACTTGGGAACCGATGGACGAGATGATGGAGCATTACCCGAGCTGTTTCAGGATCGAGCAGCAGACTTCGAGGACGAAGTCTAAAATAAGTGGGGGAGATTTGTAGCACTTGGTTTCCGGTATGTGAATTTTTTTGAGCATTTCCCTATTTTAGCCTTGGACTCGGCGAGTCATAAGGTCCGACTCGCCGAGTAGGGACGAGACTCAGGACACGTTTAAGTTGGCGACTCGGCGAGTCCATATCCCGGACTCGGCGAGTCACCGCTGTTGGATGAAACCCTAAATTTCAAGGGTTTGCACCCTATTTAAACCCTCATTCCGCCCAACCTCGTCCCCATTCACCCCCAGAACTCCCAACCTCGCTTTTCCCTTATTTCCTTGAGAGATTGAAGTGTTTTTGGAGTGTTCTTGAAGATTTTGAGGAGAAAGAAGAGTAGATCAAGAAGAGGAGAAGGAGACCAGGCATCTTTGTGTCATCCCAACGTTTTCCTTGAGGTATAGCTCGTTTCCCCCTGTTTTCAAGCTTGTAATCTCTTTTAGCTTCATAGGAGTCCTTCTTGGGCTCTTCCCCAAGCTTGTTTGTGCTTTGTGGGTTGTAATAAGTTGTTAGCCTTTAGATCTAGGCATGATTTAGTCCCTGGAACTTGGATCTAATGCCTTTATGGGGTCATATTGCATGAAAGCCCTAGATCTACCTCTTTTGGTGCACTTTGAGCCTTAAAATCCATATTGGTGAATATCTACACGTAAAGTTGGAAACTTTACGTGTGATTTGTGTCCTAGAAGCCCAGATCTGTGAATGGCATGGACTGGAATTGAGCAAATCGGCGTATTTGATGGATGCATGGCTACGACTCGGCGAGTCGTATATGTGACTCGACGAGTCTGGTCGCGAGTCACTGGACTGGTCCCTTCATGATGTGTCGAGTTGAGCCGTGAGCCACAGGGGGTGACTCGGTGAGTTGGGAGCTGAACTCACCATGTTAGGACTCGGCGATTCAATGCCTTGACTCGGCGAGTCCAAGGCAATCTTCTTAAAGATCAAGAACAACTCGTCGAGTTTGTTCATACGGCTCGACGAGTCGGATGAAGATTGTCTGAGTTCTTGGATCAAGAGGGTACTCGTCGAGTCGATGCCACACTCGACGAGTAGCAGCGTGCAGAACTGAGAAGTGAGAGTAGGACTCGGTGAGTTGGGCGGCCCAACTTGGCGAGTCAGCCCAAAAGAGAGTTGACTTTGACCAAGGGTAAAAGAGTCATTTTACCCCAAGCGCAGTGTTTAGTTTTTGATTGAGTGTGTTTATGGACTTGTAGTCGAGGAGATTCAGGAGCAGCAGCCGTTAGCTTCCCGAGCCACACACTCAGCAGCCAGCTTACGAGGTGAGTCTCCTTCCAGTAGGAACGGGTCTAAGGCCACAATTCCGGCCCGTTCAGTTAGCAGTAGTTCCTGGATTTAGGTCCGACGCAGTAGCTAGTATGTTTGATGCCTTCGTGGCTCGAACAGGATTTGTGTGCTATGTTTTATGCGTTAAGTGTTATGTGTTCCGGGCTATGGCCCGATGAAGTATGCCGTATATATGTTCATGTTAATTGATGTGTTATGTTATGCCATGTTCAGTCAGTCAGTTCCGGACTTCGGTCCGATGCAGGGGACAAGGTCCCAGTCGGTTTCGGACTTCGGTCCGATGCAGTTAGTTCCGGACTCTGGTCCGATGCAGTTAGTTCCGGACTTCGGTCCGATGCAGGGGACAAGGTCCCAGTTAGTTCCGGACTTTGGTCCGATGCAGGGGACAGGGTCCCAGTCAGTTCCAGACTTCGGTCCGATGCAGTTTCCGGGCTTCGGCCCGATGCAGTGGGCGAGGCCCAATATGTGTTTATATGTTATTGTATGGTATGTGGTAGTTTGGGAGAGCTCACTAAGCTTCGTGCTTACAGTTTCAGTTTTGGTTTCAGGTACTTCCGCAAGCAAAGGGAAGAGCTCGGGGTGATAGCATCGCACACACCACAACTTAGCTTTTTTCCTGGGGATGGTTTTAGTTGTTTTGGATTTGATGTAGAAGACATATCAAGGATATCAATGTTGCGTTCCTAACAAAATGACATAATAAGAGAGAGCAAACCATCCCATCTTTCATCTTTCATTTTTTGTAACAACAATTTGGTAGATGCAACTAACCTCAATGCATTACAAATATCTTGAGACTGTCTTTGTAAAGCATGACAAAATAAATAAATGATCTCGATTATTTCTTTATGGAGATGAAGAAAAAAATGAACTTAAATGTAGTAATAGCCTCATATGTTGAATCTGCATCACCTTTTATTTAAATCGGTGCCATATTCAATAATTTTAGGTAAAACCTCACAAGTTGGAATAAACATTTTGATTAATCTCAAAGTTGATTTGAGGTGAAAACTCCAACTAGTATCACCAGCTCAATTTAATGTACTAATTTGATAGAGATCTCTATCTGTCTCCAACTCATCAATAGAAATCTTATATGTAATTTCCTCGGCTTGTGCATCTCTAATTTGTTCGAAACGCTTGGAGGAAGCACTAACAACATTGATAACAAAAGATAATCGAGTAAAAAACTTATGTAATGCAACAACTCCTTGTGAAGTAGCCATTAAAGCTAATTGCAATCAATGGGAAAAACAATGAACATAATATGCATATAGAAAATCATTTTAAATCAATTCTTGTAAACCCTTGAAATTACCTCGCATATTGCTTGCACCATCATACCTTTGGCCACGAATTGACTTAAGATCAATATTTGTATGTGTCAATACATAATAAATTGCATGCTCCATAACAAAGACATCTTTATTTAAAAATCTCAAAACAATTGATATTTGTTCTTTGTTAGATTTATCACGTGCTTCATCAACAACTAAACAAAAAATTTTCCACCATCAATCTCCACACAAATCATCCTCCCCATCCTAGTTGATATAAAGGTTTAGATCCTCTTTTTTAATTGACAGTGATATATATATATATATATATATATATATATATATATATATATGATTCTTATTTAGGAGAAGTACGAAACAATTCTTTCATCTCCGTGTTAAAATCATCAACTGTCTTCAACATTTCACGAAAATTTACTTTACTTATGGAATCAGATCCTTCATCGTCTCCTATATATGCAACTCCTTGAAAGGCATACCAATGTATTACATAAATAGTAGCTTTCAGTCTCAATCTATTAGTTTTACACTCTTCTTTTGTAAATGTCTCAAACACGTTTTGTATATCTTGCCCCTCGTTTAACAAATCATCACATGATTTTTGTGCAACATTGTTAAAAGATGTACAATCAGTCCCTATGTGATGCAAAAAGGCACAACTTTTTCCACCTCCTTTCTTCCAATTTTGACATTCATCTAAAGTAAATGCTTGTTGGTTGTAGTGTCCTATTCCATAAGGCTTGTTGAACAGAAAACAACGAAAACAAATTACAACATCTAAAGTCTCTGAATATTCATGCCAATGATATAAGTTAAACCAAGAAGCTTGAAAACTACGTTTATGGGTATCTGGTCCCAATTTTGAATATACATAAAATGTTTTTTGAAAGGGACTAAGATTAATATATGCTCACCTGATAGTATTTCATTGATTAATTGGATAATCGTAAATTTTCTTACGTAAACCAGGATCTCGTTCTAGTGTATTAAGATTAATTTTATTAATTTCAAGATGAGGTTTCTTGAAATGGTTATCACTTTTAGGAACATTGGGCGGGGGGCATTTGATGGGTTTTGGTCCTAAGAACATCCTATGTGCTCATACAAACCCTAAAGCTTGGATCTAGGTTTCTCTATTGTACATGCAAGTTATCGAAGACTATAAACCCTAATTCTAGCATACAAGTAATCATATTAACATGAGAATAAGTTTATAATGTTACCTTGATTGTTATGTAGCAATAAAAATCCCAAATCTCCTTGTATTGACTTTGGAAGGCTTAGAGTCACAAGTGTCACTCCTCTAATGGCTTACAAACACCAAGAGCAAATGGAGAAGATATAAGGATAGAGAGGAGGTATTGAATTCGTCCCTAAGAAGCCTTGGGAAGGTCTTACACGAAATCATGTGCCAAGGGGGTTTATATAGGTGTACAGATAGGGTTTCAGTCATTATCCTTATCTAGTTGCTTGCTTACCAAGCAACCCATAAGATAATCCTTGAATCCTTATCATAGTCGAATTCTAAGGCATTATCACCTTAAATTCGTCCATCCTATACTTAGGATAATCCTTACCTTATTTTGTAACTATCACATAATTACAATTTAGCCCCTCTAGTTTAATTAATTACACTTGATCACAAAATTAATTCCTAATTAATTATTGACCAATATTAATTAAACAAATATGATTTCTCCTTTAATATATTATTCTTATAACATATTAATAAATCATAATAACCTCTTTCTCTATTTATTTCTCCAATCAAGTTGCTTTGGTGAAGGCAACCCAAAAGGACCATGCACCATCGGGTCAAGTACATACCAAAATAGTTATGGACTTAGACACTAATCCAACAGTCTCCCACTTGGATAAGTCTAATAACTATTCTGCGTATGACTTCAGATCCTGATCTACAATCGTAGCTTTCCAAAGTCGCTGTCAACTCTGATCCTATCAGATACGCGTGTCCTTAG